GCCGGTTATCCAGTGCTTTTCGTAATATTCCGTCAACCCTTCCTAGGAAATCAGTTTAATGTGTTTGACACTTTGCCTGTGAACCGACTCTTCCATGAAAACCCTGAAAACACATTCCTTTAGATCCCTTTATACATTCTAGTCATAAAAAAGTCACCTTTACCCCCCAGGTTTGGCAGTTTTAAAATGCTGGAGAGAGAAGTAAATCTCTCAGAATTTGGGGGTCTCCAACCTGCTGTTTCTAGCTTGTATTTCTTGCACTTTTTTTCTCGTATTTCTTGTCTTTTTGGGGGTTTCAGCAAAGCCTGGTGTAATGAGCAGGAATTTTGACAACCATCTGAGCTGTGTACTGGGTAAGACGTCATGCCTTTGATGAGAACTGGAGAGGCCCCTGYACTTTGCAAGTTACAAGCAGGGACTGACACATTCTTATTAAAATAGGGAGGGGTTCTGTGTTTTACAGAAATAATGAAAAGTGCAGAAAAACTTTCTCTTTTCCAAGCAATTTTTCCATGTGCTCTCATATATATGTATATTCATACTGGTATTTTGGCAAACCAATCTTCTATCCCACCTCAGTGAGTTAATGACAGGGTGGTGAAATGAATGTTCACAGCTTTAAATCAGTCTTTTCCTTAGCAGCATCTAAATAACTTCACTTTTTTTCAAGGTAATCTTGACTATAATACTAAAGGCCTGCAGGAAACCCATATATTAATTGYAAAAGCTGTGTCTGCTGTGGTTTTCCACACTGCTGATCATATATGGCATCCCAGATGACTAGCAGATCTGATTTTATAGTCATGTTGTGTCAGGAGTTTAGACTGAGCATTACTTGTAATTCTGTCATTTATCTCTACTGTTTCTTTATTAATGTCTTCAGCATTCTTGGTCTTTCCTCAATCTTTCACATTTTGTACTGATGCTTTATTACAGTGTTTTCCAAATTTTTTAAGTAAAAATCTTTCAAGATGAACAGCAGTCCTTCCTCAGGAGCTGACTGAAAGCCAAATTATCTTTATTCATATAGCTAATGCTTTGCACATCCCCTCTTTGGAAATCACTGTTCCATTAYATGCTATTGCTTCCTTGTCCCTACATGCCTTGATGAGCAGTAAAATACAGTGTTGACATTTAAAATATTGTCACTGGTATGGCTGATGTGTGAGTGAGTGAGTTTTCTCCTTAATGGTGATTTTTCTGGAGCTCTTTGCAAATTCAGGCTCTAGTGATGGTCATTTTTTTGTTTCTGTTACATTTGTGTATTTTTGAGGTCCATTTTTGAGCTTTGCTTTACGAACATAAATGGGACAATTCTTCTCATTATACTTGTTATTAGCCCTGTCCATCCCATTTCTTGTCCTCCAGCTGCCCCAAAAGATTTGTGCAGCACACTGGATGTAACATTTTACTACATCACAGAAGTTAAATATGACCAAAATATAATTCAGCGCTTGCACGGCCTTTGCATGCCACGCACAGACTGTCACCTCGGGTGTGTTATAAGCTTGGATAAGCTTTCTGTATTTTAGGTTCCCAGTTTGTCACTGCATTGTTATTTTCATTGCTGTGTCTTTGATCTCACAAAAAGCTCTGCCCTGGTCAAGGCAGCTGTTGACACAGTCCCCCTGGCCCACRTGGGCCTTTGAGCTCGTTATGGGGCAAAGGAAGGATCATGAAAGCAGAGCWTCAGAAAACACTGTGGTTGCCAAATGACAGCGTTCCTAAAGCTGTTCTGTGTCCTACCATGGGCCTCTGGTTTGGATCTGAGCTCTCTCAGATTGCTGTCCCCAATGTTCTTTATCAGTGTAGCTGTGGCAATACAGAAATATTAGCAGTAGTTATGGTTGTGTTGATGTAGAGCAATCCAACCTGTGTGAGCAGAAAATTGATGGGTCCTTTGCCCTGAGGTTGCTGTCTGAAGGTCTAGAGTACACAGAAGGTAAGAGGGTATTGAGAGATTTGGAAGCTGAGAGAAATGAAGTTATGAGTGAAGAAGATTCAGCTTCACCAGCTGATGCTGGTGCTTTTAGGTAGGTTCCCCTTCTAAAATGTGCTGCAGTTCCTCCAGCAATCCTTCATTGTTTCTTATGTGTCTTTTCTGGCAGTCGAGGCACTGGCACAGAAAATCCTGGTTGTTCTTCAGGTCCCTGTGCCCGTGGCTGTGTTGGAAAGCCCCAGCTGTGCAGTGCTGGGCTCTGTTCACGCCTCAGCACGGGACCATCACAGCCTGAAAGCACAGCCTCAGAAAGGACAATGCACATCAAAACATCACTGTTTGAAATTGTGGCCGCTGTTCAGATGAAACCTGATGGCAAAATGTGCTCAATCTCAAATCCCCAGTGGTCTATGAACACTCTGTTCAGGCCAATCCCATTACAGCATAAGAGGCTGAGATAGTTTTCTCTTCTAGTGCATGTGATAAGGGAACTTCTGTTACTCATATTTATCAACAGAGACTTTTACAATGAAAGCTATGGACAGTTCAGAGCATATCAGAAAATAATATCTGGAGTTTTTATATGCTTTACAAATGGCATTTCCAATTCTGTACACAAATTCATGTATGAATATAGAAAGTTCTTCGTGGTACTAATGGAAATTTCTGAATCTAWAGCACATCCTTTTCTCCAAACTGGCATGGTTTTATTAAGAACTACCCATATGTCCTTGACTTGTCATTTGTTAGRAAACTCCAAATCTTAATGGTTCACATTGGAGAAATAAAGGTCAAGATACAGGCAAAGTTCCTCTGTGTTACGGAAGATAATAAAAGGGGAATATATTTGCTTCTGGTTATGCTAATTCATCACTCCAAGCACGGTGTGATTGCATTCTGTCTAGTCAGTGCTCTTCTTCGTATCTTAAAGAAGAGATAGAGCCAAAGTAAAGGGCATTTGGAGATAGACAGGGAAAATAATTGAGTCACAGGGAGACTTCTGTTTGAGGAGGGATGGGRAAGATAGGGATTGTTTTAATTTAAAGAAGAGACAAATAAAAGAGAAYGTGACAGTAGTGTACAGAATGATGAATGATACAGAGAAGGTGAACTGGGCGCTCTTGCTTGCCCTTTCTTAAGTACAGAAGCAGAGAGACATCCAATAAAGAAGAAAGGCAAAARTAATAACACTGTTGAAAGGGCATTTTTAAACAGCAACTGTCTTGTTTCCACAGGCTCATCTTCTTTCTCCATGATTCTAGAGCATGTCTTGAGCWGCATGCAAAAGATCTCCAGAAAATGAATTCAAGTTGTCTTGCTAAGCAGTTGTTGTGGTCATGCTGCAAAAGCTGCTGACTGGATCAGGTGATCTGCCTTGTATGAAGGGGAAGATCTAGTCAGATAGTCTTAAAACACCATTTCAGTCTCAAAAATAAGTGGAAGTTGAAGTTAAAACATGAATATGTGTAATGATACTATCCATGCATTCGGTAGATAGAATAAAAAAGTAAATATTGAAAACAGAAACCTACTACTGATGGAAGGAATATTCCTCTGCAGCTGACACTCATGCCATTTCTTTGCTGGTCTCCCTGAACATCTGCTCATGACCCTTTTATAAAATGCTGATGTTCTGCCACATTGGCTTGGGTTCTGCTGTCAGGACCAAACAGACTTCTGTCCCCAAGGAAATTGTAGGAAGAACATTTATTCTTCCTGAATATCCCTTTCTGATATTCTCTTACTTTCGAATGTTCCATTTTTTATTCATCTTTAATTAGTTACTGCATATCAAGATCCAGGAGAACATTTATTTTGGTCAGTAGATTCTAGGGAACTTCAATAAATGGACTAAATTGTATATATACCTTTTCTCTGCCTTATTGTTAAAAAAAAAAGAGGGGAGATAATGAGACGTGGAGATTCCAAATGATTGAGATTGTGTTCTGGTTAGATTATTAYAATATCTGTTTGGATCCATTGTTACTTTTAGACTTAATCCCTGCCAGTCTTTTTGTAGCTGTRCAATTATTTTATAATTCCTCACCAGGCTGTGCTATTTCATGTGGTACAATCCTGGTCCACCTGTGGTGATCATCACTTCAAAGCCCCGGTTCCTGTGGTCATTTTTAGTGCTGTGCCTGCCTCGTTTCTAATGGCTGTGTCTGGTCTCTTGTGGTAATGTCAGCTGTGAGGATTCAGCTCTGGATCACATCTGGGAGGTGGCTTTTCCTTTCCTTTCCTGCTGCAGTTTTTCCCATCTTAAAACAGGTGAAACGCCTCAGCTATTCTGGATGGACACCAGWAGGGAAAATTGAATTTTTAGTAGTTTCCTTATGCCTTATAATTAGGTCTTTGTTTCTCACTCACCKACAGGATATCATGAGTACATTTGCCAGCATTTTTGTTATTATACTTCATATAGCAATGAGCATTTAAAATATCTACTGTTCAACACAGAACAAATGTATTTTATGAATCATGTAAAGTGTATGATTTTTAAAGTTTATAGGAGATATGTATTTGTGTGTTTGTGTGTATGTACCTATTTCCTGTGCATGTAAACTTTACAGCYAAGGATGTATTTGCCTGGTGCTGCAGTCCAGCTACCTAAGAAATAGTTACAGACATAATCTTGCCAGCCCTGAAATACCAACCTACAACCTCGTCTAGCCATTTGAAGTCTCTGAGAAAAGTTAATTGTAAATGTAATTTAGTACTCAGAGGTATGCARATTTTATGTCTAAACTCAAGTGAAAAGAAACATTCAGTCTAATTTTTTGGCATTTGTCAAAAGCCCTCTAAAAACCATCCAGGCTACAGGCTAAGCTGCCTTTCATAAATCTCAACTGAAGACTTGCTGCTGACTTCTTAAGACTAAATTATTTCTATTGTTCTCAAGTAATTACATTTTTGTTGTTATCTGTGGAAAGAGCCCCACTGGGTTGAGCATGTAAGTATATGGGAATGGGGGAAAGGAGGATTTGTGTTAGTTAAGTGGAGATGATAAAGCTGAAAACATAGCAGCAGGACATAAATCAGGTTTTTCTTCTTTTTCTAGTTGGCTTGTCACAATAAAACATTGCAACAGATGCTGAAGCCAGGGTCAGATCCAGATGAAGGAGATGAAGCCTTGAGGTTTTATGCCAAACATACGGCACAGATAGAGGTAAAGAATTGCTCATCAGAAGATGGACTGTGAGACAAGTCTGCATCTTGCGTGCGGTGTATCTCCTCTCTTCAGGCTTCCAAATGGTGTGGATTATTTATGAGGAGAAGGCTGAATCATATGCTTTTGGCTGTGGGAGAAAAAGGAATACACCTGTGTTAGAAGTGGCTCCAAAGGATCATCTCACAGTAGCTTTCCTRTGTGTTACCAAACATGTTTTGTTAGGGAAATAATGGCTGTGGATAGTAGCTGTGTCATGAAATCAAGAATAATCTTGTATGGTACATCACTCAAATAAATAATCATGAGTTTCAAAGCCACTGATGCTGGCTGATCAAATTAACAGCCTGGCTGTCAAAACAAAGAGTTTTTGAAGTGGTGTAGACATTCAATATGACTTTYGTTTAAAATGCCAAGGCTTGGCCTGGTTCAGCAGTTTTGTTCTCTGTTGTAAACTTTACACCTGCCRTGGGCTGGTCCACAGAGGTATCCCACCACGGGATAGATGGAAGCTCCATGGCTGTGATTATCCAGAGGGCAGCTCAGTGCTCCTCTTAACATATTTTAATACTTTGGGTGCTGCTGAGATCTCTCTTAGCAATTATCAGCCAGTTTATCTGGGTAGGTTGTAAATTTAGGTATTAAACAAGCACTTTGGTCAACTTTTATGTGGCCAATAGCTTCTTCTGGATAGGTGAAACTCAACCCAGCATTGCTGCTGTACWAAACAGAAAATTTCTTGTCTTTCTCTGAAAGCAGTCCTAGACCTGTTTGGTGTTTCAGATATTATCTCCCCAAATTAAGGTATCTCATTTGTTTGATTTGAAATTCAAATAGTGTTGGTTCTTTATTTTCACCAGTGGCTGCACGGAGACATGGCTGTAGGAGTCAAAATGACTTTTCTACCCATTTCTGTATTTTTAGTAATGCAAAGTCCACGATAGAATGGGGAAGCGATTTTGATTGCAGTGTGGTGAGATAAAATAAAATCTAGCCTGCTCACCATTAACTTGGTAGGTCCTCAAATGCAAACAATTAAAATCCTTGGATTTTGTCAAGTAAAAAGATAAAGATTGACAAGACATGAGTGCTGTCTGAGTAACAAGGTGCTATTTTTGCATGTTCACCTTCACAACTTATCCCATCATAGAAATAGACTCAAGATTAGAAAAGAGTTTTGTAATCAGATCAGAAAGACCCTGAACTTCTCCACTTTTTACAGGGAGAGATTTGTTTAAGTATACTGCGAAATTGAAGCATTCTGAATTAGAGCATTTTTTATATTTAAAAAGTCTGGAGCTAGGTTTTTCTTGAGACTTCTATTTGCCACCTTATTCAGGCAGGCTTTTGAAAATAGAAAACCAGCTTTACTCTGTTTTGGAATTGATTGATTCAACTTTATTGTAATGCTCAAATAATTAATGCAATAATTTGTAAATAAAAGGAGAGCTATGAACAAGAAGAGATATGACAAAATGATTGGATAGTCACTGAYTCTGACAAAAATGTACATTTTGTTTACAGATTGTTCGCCACGATAGAACAATGGAAAAAATTGTCTTTCCTGTCCCCAATATTTGCGAATTCCTCACACGGGAATCCAAAAGTCGGGTATTCAACACAACAGAGAGAGATGAACAAGGGAGCAAAGTCAATGACTTTTTCCAGCAGACTGAGGATCTGTACAACGAGATGAAATGGCAAAAGAAAATTAGGAGTAAGTACTGTAATTTGTAAAAAACAGCTCCTTTATGTTAAACCCTTGCTTTTAAACCTTCAAATACTTTGATTTTAATTATACACTTTTCTCTGTTCACTCTGATACTACAACAGGCAAGACTGTTCAGGGCTTGAGAGTGTAGGTCAGCTGAGATACTTGCATGCCACCATAAAAGAAGTGTAATATAGAGCAGTTATGAATGTATTCAAGATGATGTTTTGGACTCCAAAAGTTAAATTGAGGGATTGACAAACTGGGTGTAGTTCTGCTAATCTCAATAGCATTGCACCTAATTAAGCCAAGGCCTCTAATATTTAACAGAAACATGTGTAGCTGMATATTTGAGGTTTGCAGATTCCTGAAAGACCATTAAAACACTTGTAAATGTCAGTCACTTAAAAACATCTCTCACCAGAACCTCAGCTGCTTTAAATCTGCCTGTCTCCCATGGAGTCAGTGCCCCCCTGCCAGTTCCCATCAGCCTTGCATGGCTGGGCTGCAGCSTGTCCCAGTTAGCCCATACTGGCGAATGTCCCGTGATACTGGGGAGGCTTTAAGCTGCTTGGTCAAGATCACGGGGGAGAGATCAAAGCAGGCACACTGAGAGGGGCAGTGAAGCCCCACCAGATACCCTGAATGTCTTTAGTTCCCTGGTGGGCATCACAGCTGCTGGCTGTTGGCAGGAATGGGGCTGTTGGCAGTGTCCTGGGATCAGGAGGCTCCTGCCAGCTCAGCCACTGCTAACTCTGCCCCTGGCTTTTGGAGCCAAAAGTTATATTTTATATATCATGGAATCACAAAATGGTTTGGGTTGGAAGGGACCTTAAGATCATGTTTGAACCCCATGTCATGGACAGGTTTTGCTATCCCAGGTTGCTCAGGGCCTTGGGCACTGCCAGGGATGGGGCAGCCACAGCTTCTCTGGGCAACCTGTGCCAGGGCCTCACCACCCTCACAGGGAACAATTTCTTCCTCATATCCAATCTGAATCTACACTATTTCAGTGTRAAGCCATTCCCTCTTGTGCAGTCACTCCAGGCCCTTGTCAAGAGTCTCTCTCCATCTTTCCTGTGGGCTCCCTTCAGGCACTGCAAGGTCACAATGAGGTCACCCCAAAGCCTTCTCTTCTCTAGGCTGAGCATATGTAAAAAAGTCTAAAAGTGATCACTTCATTCACTGCTAAAATCCAGATGTTCTTGGAGTGTCACACATCATCTGCTCTCTGCAATTGATCAGGAAGGAGAGGAATAAGGTATATGGTCAGAGCAGCAGGGAGTTTGGATAGTCAAAGCAATGTTGGAGCATCTTTAACATGATGGAAACATGGATGTTGCTCCAATTTTTTATATGTCAATTCTTAGGCTATAATTTTCATCAGCAGCAAGTCTTCAGCATGAACCCCATCAGCCTAAGTCTGCTTCTAAAAACTTAACAGTGACAAAATGACCAGAATAGAAGTTGAAAAATAAATGATTCCAGAATCTGCAGTCTATTTGGGAATAAAAGTCATTGTATTGTAGAAAAATTACTTCAGTAAAAAAATCATATTTGGGGGTTTTGCTTTAGAAACATAAATAAAAGAGCCAACACAACAATTAGATAGACGAGACCTGCCTAATGCTACAATCAAAGAAAATTGGTTTATTTTTATTCAGAACAGAAATTTCTCAATTCTTTCATCAGTGGAATAGCCCACAAGTCTCCTTGTTGGTTTTCTTTTATTATTTGAAAAGATAATACAGGCTGAAGCTGGGTTCATTCTTTAGCCAAGTGTCTGTTAGCATGAAGCCTGTACTGCTGAAATTGACAGATGTCATTTTTGCAATGGCTCCAAATGCTTAAATCTCAGCAGTCGGCRGCACAAGGTTATCACAGTGAAATCTGAATATTTGCCTAATTGCCATTAAAGCCTGAGACATTCATATGCAGTTGAAGGAGTCTGCTGTTTTATAAAAACTTAGCTGGGTTCTCTGCATACTTGCAGGAAGTTTTCAGCACTTTAAAATCTAATTAATAGGAATGCATCATGTTTGAAACCTCTGRCTAGAGATTTTTTTCACTATGGCACATAGGATCTTTTTTCAAATGTTCGTTTAAATGTATTTTAGTGCATTCATATATATGAAATGCTTGCCTGAGTCTTAGCACCCTCTGATGTTGTTCCTGACCCTGTTGCTGAACCCTTCATGTGACTGGACACAAAATCTTAACCCTGTTTTGCCCTGTTTCCCTTTTTAGTTTTTTCTAGCGAGGCTGTAGGTTCCTTGTTTCTGTGTATTTGTACAGCACTTCACATATGGAGATCATGGCTGGTTTGAGTCCTTTTAAGCAGGAGTACAGAACTGTTTGTCAGCAGGTGACCGTGGACATCTGAGCATCATGCAAGAAATAGTCAGCTTTTGTAGAACCAAAACCCAGTCAGAGCAAATTTTGCCTGCCTCCCAAGCAAATCAGAATGTTTTTAGTTTCACAGAGGTGGGAAAAATACTGCAGTTTTGAAACCATGTCTATTCCATTGTTCTTTGCATGTCATCAGTGTACTTGGTCCAAATAGGTCATCTGGATGACCCATTCTGGGTGTTCTGGTTGACTGGCATTCAGAGTGCYAAAATCTATTTGTGGGCTTGATTTTGTGTCCCCATGCACAGAGGCTGCAATTTCAGAAGCAGCTGAAAAGACTCCTTTGCAAAATACTCAGGCCTAAAATCCTACCAGAGGCAAAACTCTGGTATGTAATAAACTGTATTGTGATCTTGTATTAAAAGCTCTGCTTGAAACTATGTTTTTTGGCAAACCTATGTTTAATATTTGTCTATTTTGGTTAATTTTAAAGATCTGCATATTTTCTACATTAACCTGTATTTAATTCCTTTGGGACCATTGCTGATTGAATTTCTGCCTGCTCTCAGTTCACTGATTGCTGTTTTTCTCCCTTTTTTAGATAATCCAGCCYTGTTTTGGTTCTCCAGACACATCTCTCTCTGGGGGAGCATTTCCTTCAACCTCGCCGTGTTCATCAATTTAGCAGTTGCTCTGTTCTACCCTTTTGGAGATGATGGAGATGAAGGCAAGTAGAGGTTCTAGTTTTCCTTTTAATTTTAGATGTTTTCATTTCTAATGTAGAAAATAAAGCTGCATCTTCAGGTGCAGTCATATGTGGAAGCCATTTAGTGTCTCCTAAGTAGGTGCCAGATGTTGTCTGAAATGTGGTGGTTGATCTGTGTGTCACAATGCAGAGGAAAACAGGCACAGCATAAGCTGAAGATTATCTAGATGATCTCAGCTAATTTTTTTTATATTGCCATATTGCAGCGTCCCACTGCACACATTTAGCTGCAGCTTTTGAACTGWAGGAGGATTCCTGGCAGCAGAGGGACAGAGATTCCTTAAGCCTGACCAAACTGAATGACTTGCAGCCTTGAAAACATATGGAATAGAATGATTTGAAAACTAGGTTGCTGGCTTTTGACTATGTTGTTTATTGGAACAAAAAGGCATAACTGTTACAGAGGATAAATGCATTATACAAAAATACTCTTAAAACTTACAATTCTGTTTTTGCTTCATCCCATGTCACAGGAAATATTTAATGAATTTATTATTTGCTATAAATGCAGCAGAATAGCAGGAGGCCTCTTTGAAGCCCAAACGAGCTTAATTGGGATAAAGGAGACCAAAGAGTTCAGAATACTGGCAATGGGAGCAGAGCCATTCACCTCTGGGCCTTTGATTCGTGTCCAGTCAGTAATGTGACTGAAAGTCACCTCTGTCTGATGGCATGTGAACTGGGCTGGTGGAAGCAGGCCAGCTTCTAGTAGATACATGTGCTTTTCACAAACACCACAGCTGGCACCGGCASACATTCCTGCTGCCTGGCGAAACAGAAAGGCAGCAGATTAAAATACATTGGCATGGGGGCCACGCTGCCCTCTCACCCCACAGGGTGGTCTCTGCAGGTCACATGCTGCTCCACAGCCTCATGGAGTGAAGCAGAGTTTTTAGGGCTRTGTCCAGGAAAAGGGAAGCATTTGCATGCAGTACTTTCCTGTTTGTAAACTGGGGAGTTGGAGCACGCACACGTTAGGGCCCATGGAAGACAAGAGGAGAAACAAAGGGTTAAAAATAAACCTTTTAAGCTACTGAATTTTAGCTAATCTATACTTGTGGAAATCCTCTAGTCTGCAATCAGTGGGTATTAATACTTATTCTGAACTGCAGATTTATATGGCATTAGTTTAAGTGGCCCCAGTAATCCAGTGATAGCGCATTTCAGGATTCCAGCTCCTGGTGCGTGTAAAGCCAAAGGGACTCCTGAGCAATAAGGAATAGGTGTGGTCAGATCAGATCAGCAGATCATGAGGCCACCTCCTTATTTCTAGCCTCCCCTTCCACCAAAGCCTGATTCAACAGCTGGAATTTGTCTCCCATTTTTCCCGTTCCTCTACTCACCTGTCTGAGGTACTGGGGATGATCTAATCATCCCAAAATGCTGCCTTTTAATAGGTACCTGCAATTGTTATGTAATATGACATAAGCAAAATTGCTCCACCTGAAGACAGTTCCTGAAGGGGGCCTAAAAGAAAGAATAAAGRGAGATTAGARMACKTWGTGACAGGACAAAGGGGAATGGCTTCACATTGAYAGAGAGGAGGTGTAGTTTAGATATTAGGAAAAAATTCTTGGCACGGGTTGCCCAGAGAAGCTGTGGCTGCCCCATCCCTGGAAGTGTCCAAGGCCAGGTGGGACAGGGCTTGGAGCAAGCTGGATAGTGGAAGGTGTCCCTGCCCACGGCAGGGTGGTGGAACAAGATGATCTTTCAGGTCCCTTCCAACCCAAACCATGATTCTGTGAAGACTCCTTGCCTCCAGGATGCCTGTCTGTCTGTGTGGGTCCTGCAGCATGAAATTGCTGGACCTGCAGTAGGGAAGAGGGAAAACTGTTTCGTGAAAGAACCACAGAGAACTTCGGATTGGCTTCAGAATTATTTTTTAGGATCCATTAAAAGTTTCCAAATCTTGTTGGCAAAGAAGCTRTCTCACAGAGCTGACCTTGAACCTCCTGCCAGGGATATAAATGCTCCTGAACTTTGGAAAAGTTTGGATACCATCTGAACGTTGAGGCTWGGGCCTCATCTCATTGTTTTCTAATCCCAGTGATGCCGCTCAGCTGTGTATCTGTTGCCAAAGAGATAGCATGATTTCTATTGTGAGTCTAGCTAAATTTTCTATTCCCTTCTCCCCCGTCACTGACCTCTCGGTTCATCCCGTAACAATAGAAGTCAGTGTACAAGTGTGACAGTGCCCTGAGATCTGAATGTGCTTTTTATATCACAGCAACATGGTGTGTTTCCAGGGCTTTAAGCAGAGGACAGAGGGAAAACAGGGGCATCGCTCAAAGCTGGGGGAGCGCCCRGGGCCAGCATCTTGCAGAGCAGCGGGGACTGGCGGCGGCCACGCCCGCAGCACCCGGGACCCGCTGCCTCCCCGGAGCCAGCACAGCCGCTCCGGGCGCTGCAGATGCCGCCTGTCCCTCCCTGCCCGTGGCTGCTCCCGCTGTGCCGAGTGCTCCCGTGCGGGGGCGGAGGCTCCCGCCGAACACCCGCAGCCCTTCGGCGGCAGGGAGCTGCTTTTTCGGGAGCCGGGGCTGGAAACGTGGCACTGCAGCGCGCTACCGCTCGCTGTGCTGCCCCCAGCACCGGCTATTTCTGTAGCTGAGCAATCATGGAATCAGACCGGAGAGCCCTAATGATCCCTGCAGAAGGGAGCTGATTAGTGCCTTGCTCCAGGAGAAGGGTAAACTGTTCCATCTCTGAGCACTCCCTGGATTTTAATGGAAATTTCATTAGCTGCTCTTATTATTACCTGTGCAAAAAGCAACAATACTCTGAGAATAATAGCTCTTGCTGCAATTAGGGCAAGCTGTGGTCAGCGGTTGTGATGCGTGAATCATGCTTTTGTTAGCTCTACTGGCAAAGGAATTGATCTTCTGGATCCATTTCTTGGGGAAAATGGAGTCTCCAAAGATGCCTTTCTCAAATCTCCCTTTCTCCTCCGTACAGGCACGCTCTCACCGTTGTTTTCCGTGCTCCTCTGGATAGCAGTGGCGTTTTGCACAGCAATGCTGTTTTTCATCTCCAAGCCTGTTGGCATTCGACCCTTTTTGGTGTCTGTTATTCTCAGGTCTATATATACTATAGGGCTGGGCCCTACCTTGATACTCCTTGGTGCTGCTAATGTAAGTACTTCAAAAGCAAGCAGAATTTCCCTTTCAGCAGAAGGAAAGATATTAAGGGTCTCCTGTTAAAAAATCCTTTTGATTAGAGCTGYGCAAAAACTTCTTTTTCTGGTTCATTGGTTAAGCCAAAAAAAATAAATCATTTTCAGTCATTCTGAAACAGCAGTGTCAGCAAAGTGGGAAGCTAAGAAAAAAAGCTGGTTTAATTTTGTGCATATGCAAATATTTTAAAAACAAAAACAATAYGAAATTTAAAGAAATACTGCTGTATAAGGGCAATAAAATCTGCAGTTGCTCATGTTAAAAGAATAATTTTCCCTACCAGGATGCTCAGTGCTATTGGCACAAGTTTGTGAAAGGTTTCTGAGACCTTAAATAAATTTTCAGGAAGAAAAGAGTTTTCAAAATTAAAAATTCTGTCAGCCCTTTGCCAAATCTCTTAACTAATACATGAATAAGTATGCATGCTTACTGAGCTTGGTAAGATACACAGTCGTGCTCACAAGTCATCTATTTAAATTTCTGCCTGACTGCTACAGCTCTAATTCACCCCAGCATGAAGTATTGGGCTGTTTGCCACCAGTTCTATATGTGAGAATTTCACATACTTAAAAATACCCAGACATATAGTCAAAGGTAAAGGCAAGTAAACAGCACTTGTCCCTGAACAAAGGAGTCGTGTTGAGTCCTCATTCCTTGTCCTGGACAGGCACAGAGATGAGGTGAGATCCTTTCCTGCTCACTTCTGCACTGCTGCTGCTGTGCAGGCAGAGCTCGGGAGCCACAGAGAATCTGATGCTGTTGTTTAAATGCTATACTTCAAAAATGTCCTCAGTTCTGACAGGGTTTTTTTGGGGATTTTTTTATATTGAAGAACACAATCTGAAGGAAATAGATCTCACACACCCCCCCACACACTTTCTGTTGTGTTACTATTGTTCTCTTGGTAGTAGCATGCCTAGCTGCTCTTACATAGTCTCATGTCTAAACTCAAAATTGTTGGGAGTTCAGTCCCCAGTCAATTTTTAATGCCTCGTGACATTAATCCTGCCCACCTATTCACTAATGTTATAGGAATAAATCAYAGTGTAATGAGGCACAGTGCACTGTTGGAGAGGATGTACTTCCACTCACCCTCATGGGCTCATTCCCAGTGCACTGTCGGAGCTGGATTTCTCTCACCTCACTTTGGCCATCTAAAGGTTGTGCATTTAGGCAMTCCAACCTATCTAGGCAGCAACCCAAACAATAAATAACAGGATTTTTCAGATGGAATAAACCCAGCCTTTGTCACCCTCCCACAGCTCTGTAACAAAATCGTGTTCCTGGTGAGCTTTGTTGGGAACCGCGGGACTTTCACGCGTGGCTACAGAGCGGTCATCATGGACATGGCTTTTCTCTACCACGTGGCCTATGTCCTGGTCTGCATGCTGGGCCTCTGCGTGCACGAATTCTTCTATAGCTTCCTGGTAAGTGTGTGCTGCTGTGGAGGGGAAAATTTTGCAAAAATAGAAAATACCGTTACCCATGCAGCTGTCTTCAATTTCTTCCTGACAATCAAGCCAAATCGTGTATTTTTAGCACGCCGTTGTGTTGCTGCCCCTTAGGAGCTGCTGTTTTTATTAGAACCTGTTTCTGTTAGGACTTATTTTATCTGTTTTAGGGGTGAAAGTTTTCTCCTTTTCAGGCAATCATCACACAGCCCACTCCTTTCTCCCAGCTTTCTCCCTGTTCTGTGTCTATTATTCCTGCATCTTATATCAGTCCTAACATTTCAGGGGCAGTTTCCGATGGTGTGTGCCTCATACCCATACCAAAGGATCACATTCCTCATCGCCAATAAATTTTAAAAGAATTACTTGGGAAATGGGGATGGCATGCCTCTGGTGTAGCAGGAAGATTCATCACTTGAAATGTATCCCACTTCATTTTCTTTCGTTGCCATTATCCAGATGGAATGCCTTTTAATAAAGTGGTACAGGTGCAGTGAAAATGAATCACACAAAATTATGCTAAACTCCACTAACTGCTCCCTTCATGCTGAGTAGCAGYAAAAGGTGTTTCACTGCTCTTGTTTGCTAATCCTTTTGCTCTATACTGGAACGTGTGAAACTTGTAGGGAGACTGACTAAACTGTGGTCATTTACATGGGTTCACTTCCCTGTTGTATTTTTTCTCAGCTTCCTGAACAGTGGTGAACTCCCAGCATTTCAAAGATGTGTTAAGCACACTAAAATTTTCAGGGTTTCAGTGCTTATTCAGGTAGAGCGCCTGTTGAAGTCAGACTTTACAGATCTTTACATTAAAGTCTGCTTCAACGTTTGGGCAGATTTCAAAGGAGCCAAGATTGTGGCTGTAGCTGCAGAACCCTCTTTAAATGGATATAACTGTCCTGCTTAAAAAAATGCATGAATTATCTGCTGTTCCTTCAATGAATAAGGTGATCTCTATTTTAAAATGCTTTGCAAAGTGTCAAGCAGCTCAAGAAACATTTCATGTATTTACTTTTTTTTCAGTGGCTGCTATTGACGAATGTCCATRATTCATGGACATTATCCACATTCCCAGGTTGCTTCCAGGTGTTCATTCAGTAATGAATGTGGTCTAAACTCTAATATTTGTTCCTCATTTTTTGCCTTGTATGGAATGAATGATAACTGCCTCTCCTCTTTCTTCCTTTRTTATTAATCCTTTCACAAAGCTGTGGATTTCAGATCTTATAAATTGTGGCTAATACCTTCTTCTGTGGAGCATTTTGATAAATCATAGTGTGTCACTTGATATCTAATCTGAATGTTCGGAAGTAGAAATACATACATTATAGATAAGGTCCAAAGCACTACAGAACATCAAGAAAATTGTAAGAGGGAAAAAAGTTACAGGTTTTTGTAAAGCTCCTGTCACATTTAATTGGTGGTTTAGGCTTTTGACATTTAAAGCAATATTATCTTAATATATACTTTCCTTTAAAGTTAAATACCAGGAAAGCATATATTGCAGGGTAAAGAAGAACAGTTTCATGCAAACAGTGCATGAATTTAACTTTGTCCTAAAAAGAGGTGGCCCCAATTCTTGTCCATGTGACATTTAAATGATGCCATGAGCTCAAAGAAACATTTTACAAACATGTAATTACTTACATGTRTGAGTGCATTTGTGAGTTGCAGCTTATGCATGTTTGTCAGATGAAAGAGAACATGAGAAATCAGTTTGTAACTATAGATCCATAGGATGAAGACATTTTAACAATTGTAATCTAGCTTGGTTTTGAATATGGGGAAACAATAGATCTTGTTGATGTGTATTGTCCATATCTGGGTCAGGCTCAAATATACTTTGTGGCTTTGGATTTTGCTATAATTTATTTTAAAATTCAAAGTTCTGTACTAGATTTCCGCCTCCAAAAGCATACCCAGCTCCCACTGAAATCAATGTGAGTTTATGAAGCTGAGAATGTAGAACATGGCTCAATACATGTTTCAATTGTTCAGACTGTTTTCCTATGCAACATCTATATATTGCCTCATTTGTATTCATTTTTCCTCTCCTGTGTGCCTTTCCCAGCTGTTTGATCTGGTGTACAGAGAGGAGACATTGCTGAATGTGATAAAAAGTGTTACCCGGAATGGCCGTTCAATTATCCTCACTGCAGTGCTAGCRCTCATCCTGGTTTATCTCTTCTCCATCATTGGCTTCCTCTTCCTGAAAGATGACTTCATCATGGAGGTTGACAGGTTGAGAATCAGGACCCCTGCTGCAGGTATTGGTTTTTGTATTAAAATTTGCTTTCGACATACACCCTTCTGTCTGCCCAACCTAACTTTTCATCTAAGAACATCAAATTCCTTTTATTTGTGCCTGTGTGAGAGCAGAACTAATTCCACATACCTTAGAATTCAATTAAGTCTCTGTGTAAAATTTAATGTGTGCAGGGTTGTTTTAGTCTGGGCTTATTTGTTGAAATACTAAAATCTAACACATTTGATTTATTATGTTTGCTTCACAAACTCGTGATAACATTAAAAAAAAAATCTGTACTTCTTAAGTGTTTGGAAAAGTAGCTCAAAGTGGATTTTATTGTTCTCATCCCACCTTGAAAGCAGCTCATACTAATTTCTGTACASACTATGAGGCATGTGATCTTAACATGTTCAGAAGCTGTATTCATTTCATTGCTTTTTAAGAATCATCCAGTAGAAATTTATTACAGAATCCACACTTCTACTGATAGGATATCTCCTGGAGCATCTTTAAATTAAGTGTGTTTTTTGTCAACATTATCATTAGTGTGTAATCCTAGCTTCAGTAAAGTCATTGGGAGGTTATGAACCAGTTTTTGGAAGGCCAGGATTTCAGCTTTCTGGAATAAGAGACTTTAGCAAAGTGAATAGAGAGTTACAAACTTATTTTGCTAGAAAAGAGCCAGGTTTGGTCTGTTGAGAGCTTTGTGTGTGCTGCCAACCAGCCTGCTGGGAGCATGGGTAGGGGAGTAACTGGCTGCATAGAAATACCTGAGAATAGCTTGTGATTAAATTCCTAGAGGCATGATTTTCCCAAATGCTGAGCTCTTCAGACATGCACTCAAGCACAGAACTGGCGGAATCCAGCCGGGACTGTGTGCACTCAGTGTTTGCCAGCCTTTTCCTGAAGTTGTTTTTTCAGGATTTAAAGCTCACAAACAAGGCAAAGGTCATTCAAGACTCATGGGCCTGGTGTACTTCTACAGCTGGTTTGAAACCATATGAGAAAAAAATCCAAACTTGACAGGTTTCTTTAACATGCCGTTTTTGTTTGTTTTTTTTTTTTTTTTGCCACTGATTATCCTTTAGGGGCTAAATTGTCTTACACTTGTCTTACCATTCATTTTTGGGACAGAACTTAGGGTGTGAAGTGTGACTTTAAAAGGTAGTTGTGACCACCTTAATAAAACAGGCTACACCCAGATGTGATCTGATTCAGGGCAGCAGCTCCGATGCGTTTGTGTTGCTTCTGTTGAGCTCTTGGCAGATTTTTGTGGTGTGGGTATGTTCTTCTGGCTTCATACGTTGCCATTTCTGATCAAAAACTCACCAAGAAAATATGCTGACTACATGTTGATGGAACATTATGCTTCCCAGGACAAGTGCTTTAAATTTTTTCTTTATAAAGTAGCAGAAAGTAAGTCAGAGTGCATGTTTTCTGCATTACACATACTGTCTTAGACTATGATTTTGTTGTATGGTTTTGCCTTCATTTTTTTTCTCCTTAAACCTTTTTGCATCTGTAATTTGAAATGCAGAAATTTGTTGAAGATGCGCAAGATAAAATTGGTTTGATAAAATCAAGCTGATGTACACATTTACCACTTTGGGAATGTTAAATTAGTGTTTTACACAAACCCATACATATTTACAAATGAGTACCAAACTGTGTTATAATCCTTGAAAACCCTTAAATATTCTACATTCAGGATAACTGAACATCAGCTTGGTGTCCTTCTTGTCAGCTTTTGTGAATAATTTATCTAATGGTTTTAAAAACTGACATTATTTTCATATCTGACAGTTGTTTCTTGCTTTGAATATATTTTGTTCTCACCAGAAGCAGCCGCATTTGATGTAGATTCATTAATTTCAGGAGATGAAATAGGAATAGCTGTGATCTACAGTAAATATAAAACTGTGTTTTTGTTCACTGTGATTGCTTTGAGCTGTTGAGGCAGACTCTTTTGAGGAGGGAGGAATYGCTGGTGTAATTTGTTCTGTTTTTTCTTCTTAACTCTCTAACCTGGTGATTCGCTTCTGGAAAATAACAATTTAAAACTTAACACCGGCGTAGTACCTGTCTCTTTGTCAACATCCTGCTTTTTCCACAGGCGCTGGTGAAGTTCCCACTACAACCCTGACATCAATGATGGGAGCCTGTGCTAAAGAGAACTGTTCCACAAGCATCCCAGCTCTTAACCCAGGTTAGTACAGAACTCAGACTGATGATCACCGAGAACCAAGGGATCCTTGGCAGTGCTCAAGGCCAGTGGATGGGGCTTTCAGCCACCTGGGATAGTGGAAGGTGTCCCTGCCCATGGCAGGGGGCTGGAATGAGATGATTTTTRTGGTCMCTTCCAACCAGTCCATTCTRTGACTCTCTGATTTGTGTTTTGCTRTTCAGAGACTTCTGCCGGCGTGAGAAGTGATGATCATTGTTGTGAGTCAGAAGTGCTCAACTTCTGCAGGGCTTGGRGCTTAGTTGGCAGCTTTGCTGTTAATGGGAGCGCTTCCCACACCTGATTTCCAAATGCACTGACATTAATTTTGTTATTAAAAGAGCTTGCTGAATCATTATGCTCAAATGTACAGGTTGCTTCTTGCCAAGTGACTTAGCTGAGAGAAAAAACTTGTCTGCAGCATCCTCACCTGCATGCACTGAGCGACTCTTTGATTGAGTCAGGGCCACAGAAATTCATTTGCATGGCACAGCATATATATCAGCCAGCTTTCGTGTATTTTTTCTACATGCATCTGGGCCAGGGCTGTACCAGAAGACCCAGGAACCCAGATCCAGGCCCACGTGTCTGTCTGCCTTCTCTCTTTCCACGAGGCACAGTCTGGCTGAGCTGACTGGGCTTTCACTAGAGACATTGAGGTTGGTTTAATGTGTTGTGGCCATTGCAGTGGAGGTGAGTGCACCGTGGATGGTCTGCAGGCTTGAAATATTTATTGTCACAGTTGCCTGTGGTTGCTGGGGGCTGAAACGGAGGAAATAAATGGTCCCTTCCTAAATGCCAGTATAATGTTGTTTCATAAGCTCTATTCTTCCACTGCTAATTTTTGAGTTTTTAGGATCAAAGGCTTCAGGGAGAGGGCTATAAAAGTAGGCTTTTTCTCCCCAGCTGGTGTGTAAACAGGCCTCATAAACAACATGGRAAGCTGTCTGACTAGATAGAGAAAACAGTCTAAGAGCTATTGGCAAAGCTGCTGCATTCAAAGAGTAATCAATCAGTCAAAGACATGCACTGTGGCTTTTGCCAAGTTCTTTAAATGATAGAAATCTCACATTTCTTACAGTTTGGGTACTGTTCCTTTAAAATCAAGCCATAACGAAAGAGGGCTTTYGTTGATGAACAAAACATCTAAGTACACTCTCACTTCAAGAAATTGTAATTATCCAGTAACATTAAAAGCCACCAACATTCAGCAAGACCAGTTTTTCTCACGTTAGCCACCTGGTCAAATATAATTGTTCTACTTTCTGTCTTTTCCTGGGACAGATTTCCCCTCTGACAAAAGTGTGAGTGTGGCAGAATGCAAAGGCATGAAATCACCGTCCCTGGAAGCATTCAAGAGGCATGGATGTGGCCCTTGGGATGAGGTTTAGTTGTGAACGTGGCAAGGTTAGGTTAATGGTGGGACTCGGTCTCAGATGTCTTTTCCAGCCTTAATGGTGCTATGATTCCATGAGATTTGGGGGGTTTCTCATTGTAGTACCAGTCTGCAGTGGTGTGTAGGAAACAAAGTGTTCTCAGTGGCACCTCAGGTCCCARGTGAGACATGAATTATGTTGCTTTTCAGATCAGATCCCTTCTRGTCATTTTGCTGATGGGACTCTGCTCTTGCTTTGGATTTCGCTGGCTGAGCCTGTGCCGGTCATTGCTCTCACTGGTGAGGGAGTTCCCTGGGAGCCCATGTGCTCTGCCCAGAGACCTCCCCTCTCTGCAGCTGCTCTTCACTGCTGCTCTGGGCTGTTAGCAGAAAAATACTTCATCTCACTTGCCTTGGAATCTCCCCTTCTCCACTCCAGAAACATTACCATACCACCAGTCTATGCCTGGTGAAGTGCCAGAGCACTTAAARGAGTTTCACATCCTCCAGTACATTTCTCCTTGGCCCCTAAAGACCTGTTCCACAGTACACAGATATCTGTGTAGGGATATTTCCAAAGGGGACATTTCCAAAGGCTCATTCCCCTTGCAGCCCCACTCCTGCTCTGTGTGGGTTCCACTGGGTCTGCGTGGGCACAGGCGTGTCTCACCTGATGTGCTTGTGTGGCCCAGGTAGCTGTGGGACATCAATTGAGGATTTTTGAAGTAAATCTTCCTATTATTCCTTCTCCTGCCCTGTGAATAACATTGTGGAGTGGTCTTAGTGCTTAACCAACTTTGCCTTTGAATTGAATTTATTCAGAAGACAGCCTGCCTAATGCTGTCCAGACACTCACCAGGCACTCTCCAGGGTGGAACTGCTTGCAAATAAAACCCCCTGAACCTCAAATAGTGTCAATATTGGGTCCTTAACAACAATCCTCTCTACAGATCTGCTCCTTTCTTTCAAGTAKGGGCATAGCTGGTGACTAGAGGGGYTGAGYCTGGGTGAAAGCTTTYGAGCATTGAAGACAGAGCAGCTGAGGCAGAACATGTGCCTATAGGAATGCCTAGCTCCCGGGTTGAAGGCAGTTCTTGTTGATCCTCATCTGGGAGTGGAAATAGAACAGAAAAAAGGATGTCTGCATACTCCTCACAGCTCCATTGCTGCACCAGAGGTTTCTGCCAACTTTGGGCTGTCTGATTCTTTGACAAAGATCTTGCAGCCTGAGCTTGCTTTTCTGGATGTAGTGTGGCGTGCTGACTCTGTGTTGCAAGATGTGCAAGGTGATGTCTCTTGTTTCTCTGAAGCCTGGCTTGCTCTGAATTAGCATCTCAGTGGGCATGGAGAGYTGTCTGTTAGGGCTGCTGGTGGGTAACTCCCTCCTTTCCAGCTCTCAGCCCTGGTTTATCCCTTCTGTTCACCAGATATAATCTGTGAACAGTGGAAATATTGTAGTTACCTAAAGGAAATAGAAGCTGTATCTTTTTTCATGTCTTTTAATTTATTTAGTGGATGGTCCCCTTCTCAAGCACGGCTCCAAAATAAAATGATGGAGTGTTGTTTGAAAGGAGGGAATAATGGAAGGATACAGCAGCAAAGATTAGTTGGTAGCACTTTGCTAGGAAAAAAAAATCTAGATATGTCAGGATTAAAAAGGTTTCTCATTTCAATCCTTTCAGTTTCAATATTTAAACATTTATTTTTAAATCCTGGATTATTTGTGAAATAGTGTCTGTAATGACCATATAGTTTAACAGGRAAGTGTGTCCTGATGTCTGCTTTTGCTTTTCTTTTTGCTCAGAGTTCCATAAATAGGGAGSTCTTTCTCATTTAATTTGCTCGTGGAGCAGAAGCAGTGGTGGCAAAAGCAGCAGACACCAGAGCTGTCCTGCCCATCCCAGCCAGGATACATGCACCGCTATTTGGGAACCCAAATCCAAAATTAAATTTAAATCCAAATTACTTGTCTGTAATGCGAGTGCTTGCAGTCAATTCCATTTATCAGAGTCTATCTCAGTGCCCCAGATGTGGTGGTTTGGGGCTGTTAAATATCTGTTTCAGTCAACTCTCACAGCAGGATGTTGTTATTTATTAAACTTGTTACAATGAGTTCATGGAGCAAGCCGAGTGTGAATCGCTGCCTTCCCCGCTTAGGCGAGCGTGTCCCTAAAGAGAGAGGAAGGCAGGAGGAAGGGCAGTCACAGCCCTGAGCCTTCAGTCCAAGCCAGCAGGACACAGGGAGCAGCTCAAGCAGGAGCAGCAGCCGCAGCCTGGGAGTGATGTGTGGTGGGAGGGATCCCAGCTGAGGCGGACAGAGTCCCCAGGGTTGGTGTTCCAGCCCGGCTCCTCTGCACGTTCAAACATCTCCTGCACAATAGTACCCTCTGTGGCTCGGCCAAAACCACGCAGCAGCTCTGCGGCAGAGATAAGAACAGAGTCCAAGTTCTTGAGCTGAGGTCAGGGAGAGCCTTTCATTTAATGTCTGTCAGACCTGTGCTTGGGCACGTGTGCTGGTGGAAAGATCGGGGACAGATTGCCTCGTTCAAAAGCCAGCCCCTCCTTAATGGTTTCAAATGCTAGCATGACTTGGCTTGTACACAAGTAGGTAGAGGCATGATTTCACAGGAACGCAATCCTTTTACAAATGTGCTTCTAATTCTCTGTTTATATTGCTTCTTGTCTGTGCTGTATTTTTAGGGGGCCCACTGGAAAATCAGTGGGAGGACTGCATGGAGAAGGGGTGCTCCCATGAGTGGAGATGGTGTCTCTGGGTCATTAACAGCTCTGGTGGGAGCACTGCTTGTGATTTTCTCCGTCTCTCTTCAGGCTAAGTGTGCCTGATGTGTCTAAGTATGTCACTAGCAGTGATGTGCACATGGGTGGGGATGATCAATGAGGTTCTGGATGAAGAATGTGAGAGGCAGATGTGTCTTGCAGTCGGTGTCTCTGACAGAAATGTGGCATTGTTTGTTGTGTGATTGTTTGATGCTGTGGTCCCTGAGGCTGCCTCTCTCCTGTCTGCAGGTGAAGAAGAGGAGGATGGAATAGAAAGGACCTGTGACACTCTGCTCATGTGCATTGTGACCGTATTAAACCAAGGCCTGCGGAATGGTGGTGGTGTGGGAGACGTGCTCAGAAAGCCTTCCAAAGATGTGAGTGTTTTGGCTGAGGAAATGCATTACTCCCTGTGCATCTTGTGAATGCCAAAGTCAATTTTTGGAGGTTATAGACAGTGCTTGTATCTAGTCTGATCTCACGTCACACAGTTGATTTATCCATGTAATTTTTAGATCCCAGATGGGACATTTAATGGGAAGAGCTAAGCTTGGTGTGATGATAGTTGAAGAGCAGATCTCTTGGTAGTTGTTTACCATTTGTGGGAAACAGCAGAGTATCATAACCTTCAAAGCACTGCTGAAGAGTCAGCCCTGTGAGGCACATCTGGAGAGCTGTGTCCAGTCCTGGGATCCTTAGGATGAGGGAGACATGGAGTTCCTGGAGCAGGGCCAGTGGGGGCTGCGGAGATGATTCAGGGCCTGGAGCATCTGTGCCAGGGAAAGGCTGAGGGAGCTGGGGCTGTTCAGCCTCGAGAGGAGCCCCAGCTGAGAGGGGCCCTGAGCCCTGTGTGTCCCTGTGTGCAGGGAGGGCTCCCAGCAGGGCCCAGGCTCTGCTCCRGGGGGCCCAGCAATGGCCCCAGAGGGACGGGCAGGAACTGATGCCCAGGGGGTTCCACCTGGACATTTTAGCTTATATTCAGCATGGCATCTGCCCTGGAATAGATCCCATTGTTTACTTGTACTCAATCAGCATGAAAGTCAAACCAGAATTTCGTATATTGTGGCACATTTTCTCTAACAGAAGTTTCTCAAAAATTCAGTTCATTTAAGGACTTCCATAATATTTGGGTGGTTTTATGCATTTTTATTTAGGTTCAAAAAGAACATCACAAATAAAGGCAATCTAGCAACACTTTGCTTGATAAGCCACACCATAACTCAAGGATGTGTTATAAATAAATTCAGAAGAGAGTAGGATCTCAGGAAGGCTCGCAAGGCTTGCAGATTTGAGACAACTCAAATCTAGATGAAAGAGCTCCCTGGGCTGGTAGTAGGAGTCTACACTCTATCTCACAGACTGGGAGGCTTTACAGGAACCAAAGTTTATCCTCTGCAGAGTCTGTAAGCACTTAGAGACTTTGAAAGAGATCCTTGCCACTTAGCAGCTATTTAATGCTAATTACATTAAAGCTCTTCACAAAGGGTAGGGCTGTTATTGCCGTGAATATGTGGGAAACTGAGCAATTGGGTGGCTTCAAGTCTGTCTTGGTAAGGAAAAGGATTTGGGACACATAGATAGTCCCTCTCTGGTTCTGTGAGTAAGGCTAGCAGAATCTGGCATATGAAAAGAAAGATCTGTAGCTTTGCTTGTGCTAATGTGAAAAAATTGTTTAATATTTCAGAGGTGTGCTATTTTTATACCTTATTGCAACCTTGTTGTTGCAGGAGCCCTTGTTTGCTGCACGCGTTGTTTATGATCTTCTGTTTTACTTCATTGTCATAATTATTGTTCTAAACCTGATCTTTGGAGTCATCATTGATACATTTGCTGATCTCAGGAGTGAAAAGCAGAAAAAGGAGGAGATACTAAAGACCACCTGTTTCATCTGTGGTAGGTGTTACTGACCTCTTGAGATATTTGAGGGTGAAAGGAGTAAAAATGAAGGAATCTTCAATAAATAAAGCTTGGACCTCATGCATGGTTATCTTCAACAAGGAAAATCTGTAAAAAAGCCAGAGTTTGATTCCAAATTTATTCCCTCTCAGTAGGAAAAAGATTTGGTTTCTGAATCAAAAGCCAGCTTTGCTAAGAGGTGGCTTCACAGTCTCCACCCAGAATCTGAGGCAGAAGAGCTGTGTCTCACGCTTGCATCGCCACCACTGATGGAGATGGGGCAGCTGCTGACTTTGCTTCACAGAGCGTGCTGCAGATGAAAGGCAGCTTCTATTTCACAGCACAGTGCATTCCAGAAGGGGAGCATCGGCAAAAACTGCCGATTTCAGGAGGTGATAGGAAGCAGGGAACAAACGAATTCGGTGGAAATCATCCCCACAAAGCCCACGGATAAATCACACGTATTTTGAAGTGCACTCAAAAGAGGGGCAGACCTTCACTCCCTGGGGGACTTCAGAAATACCTGCTTTTTTGTAGGCTGGGTGCCGTTTCCATGGTTGTGCTGACAGGGATGAATGCTGTACAGAGCACAGCATCTTTAGTGTCTGTGGACAAGAGATCTGGGGAGGAGAGTGGTGACATGGAGGCAAACATTGGTGGTTCCTCCCATTCCTCACTTCCGCTATTCTTCTTCGAGGATCTGACCCATTACAGGGAAAAAACAAAACAAAATTTCTCAAGCCTGCAGCCCTGTAAAAAGACTGTGTGACAGCAGAGCTGCAGAGACTCACCCTCTCTGCCAGGTTTAAGTGCATAAACAGCTTCAGTGGGGCTGTTTATGTGCTTGATGCTGAAAGTGTGCATAAATCTTTGGAAGATCAGGACCTGGATTGCACACTGTGTGCTTCCCAGTATACATCTAGAAAGAGCCAGAGCCAGCACTTGTAAAGCACTTTATAACCCTCAGAATAGAAGGCACAGTAAAACCGTAACGTATTTATTATATTGTTATTGTTATTAAGAGGAAATATCACAAAAGAGAATAAATGCTGCATTGAAAGACTTCTGTCAGGAATGCCTTCTGGCCTGGTATTTCTTGCCTGGCAGTTATAGCTTTTAAATTAAGATCCTTCAAATTTATGGTCCTTTAAATTAAGTTAGGTTCCTTTCTCTAATGTATTTAACAGATTTGCGTAATTTTATGTTGAAGTTTATTTTTTGGCTTTATGTTCATCTCTTTTTGCAGGACTGGAGAGAGACAAATTTGATAACAAGACGGTTTCGTTTGAGGAGCATATCAAGGCAGAACACAACATGTGGCATTATTTGTACTTTATAGTTCTTGTCAAAGTTAAAGATCCAACTGAATACACCGGCCCGGAGAGCTACGTGGCGCAAATGATTGTGGTAAGTCAATTTGGGCATGTGCTTTATGCAACTGAGAGATGCTTCTTGCAGCTGGAGCAGAGAATATCTTTCTTTTCACCCTCTCTCTGAACAATAGGAGACATCGATCTGTATTTTTAAAGATCTTTTCACGTGTCTTAGTCTGCAACAAAACCCAGTCTTAAATATAATGAAAAAGATGAAGGTGTGGGCCGCGGTCTCTGGTTTGGCGTCAGTGCTCTCATGCTCTGTGGGTTCTGCTGCCTCATTAGCCAAAGCTGGGGCAGGAGAGCATGCATCATAACATCTGCTGCTGCTCCAGCTTTGTCCAGTGTCTCTGGGCTGCTGTCCAGAAAAATAACATCTCCTCCTGAACACTGAAACGCCGGGTCAGCACTCAGRGCTGCTGCTTTTCTCCTATGGCTGCTCTGAACAAGCTGGTGAAAAGACCAAGCCGAGCAGCCACGGGGATTTGAAGAGCTACAGAAACTGCCTTGTGAACAGTGAGAGCATTTGGATTCAGACAGAGAAATGACACTGGTCCAGAGAGGTGTTTGATTACAGCCTGATGCCAGAGAGGGTTCTTTCTGGTGAGTGAGAGGGTTGGATTATCGAGGCTGCCTGGCTCAGGGCTTCATTTTTGAGGAATGCTGCCTGCCTGTTGGGATATTCTGGTGCAGCATTTTCTTCCTGTGGACTCGCTGGCAGGTACTGTGTTGCTCAGGGCCTGTGCCAGGCTCTGTGGTTGCAGAGCTGGCATATGTCTGAATCCCAGAGGATTCTGTAACCAAAAGCGCATCGGGCTTCGCTGTTTATGCATTTCTGGAGCCATATTTCTTGTCAAGGCTATTTCTCTGTTATCCCTCATCAGGCCTTTGATTGGACACACTACCCAGCCTCATTACTGAGATGCTGGGTGGCCTTTTAGTCCCCRGTTTAGCCAAGGGGAAGATTCTTCTCCTTTTGCTTCAGCTGTCTTCAGGTCAGGTGCTGGATTTCAATCGATCCCAGCTCCTTTCTGCCTTGTCAGTGCAGAAARCTGGGTTATTTATCCTGCCTTCAGATGGGTGTCCAAGATAGCTGGGSTCACTCACCTTTCTCACTCCATTGAGAGCCTAAATGGTTGGTTTAGACAGAATGCCTAATTGGGAACAGGCTAAAATTAGAGATGACTCCACCACTGTGCAGGCTTATGCAGAGTTTWCCTCGAAGAACTCACATTAGTGGAAATGGTCGTGTTTGGACAGGAGTGTGTGCTTGATTGCTGCAGTTAAATAGCACTTTTGTGACTGCTATTACCACTAGAAGGGAAGGTGCTGTGGCAGGTGATGGGAATTGGGTGCTCAGGTACAGAGGAGCTACCTATTTCCATCAGTTTTGAACCATCAACTCATTGCCCAGCTCAGAGTGTTTGTACTGTAGGCAGCGATGGATCTACACTTCTGTAGTGTGGTGGGTGTGGCAGAAAACCTAAAGCAAATCCTTGTAGACTCTATTGCATTGCAAGAAATTATTCAYAGTGGCTAGTTGTCCTGTCACACGTGGAAATACTTTAGCCTGTCTCAGAAATACACTTTAATTGTGGAATCAGATTCTGGGGCTTGTCTCATTTGTTCATCCTTCCTCTCCTCTCCCTGCAATGTTTGTGAGATTTTAAACTTTGTGGTATGTATGTTAAGTATTAATGTTTCATTCCAAGAGATGCATTAATATTCATGGTAAGTRTATTCATCCTGTGGCAGCAGTGGTTTGACTTTTCTGATGTGTAATTCACTAATGTMTTTTACTTCTGCATCAATGGMTGGAACTCCTGTTTGAATATCTAGAATACTAACAGAAAAACACCAAAATCTCAAGTGACCTCAAGCACTCAACTGATTTCTCAAAGCCCCTGTTGCTCTGTGGCAGAATGCTGGTGGTTTAAGTGGTTAGCAGTAATCCAGATTTTGGGATTATTAAACTCTCTGAAGGAAGACTTGTTTTTTCCATGAGTATATATATAAAGTTAAAGGTTATTCTGGAAGATGGGAGAGGTCTATGGACCTAGAAGTGTAAAGCTTACAGGGACTGAAAGTATAAATGGTGGAGTGGTAGAAAAAAAGAAAAGAGAAATTAATGTTTGAACAAAGTACAGGTGTCTGGTATGAGATCAGTAGTTGTGTCTTTGTGTAGTTTAAATTCCCTGTACAAAATCCAGGGAAGGTGTGCTGCAGCAGYGTTGCATAGCAGAAGCGATTGGAACTTGTTAAGTGAATTTAAAAAGGACGCTTTCTCTTGGAGCCAGAGAATTTACTGTATTTCACAAGCTACAAGGAATACGAAGAAATTAAAGAAAATAATCTGACTGGAAGAGTGGAGTATGATATTTGACTGGAAGAYGAGATTTAGAGAGATTAGATACAGYTTTGCTCAGGACCTATARAAGAGTCAAAAGGGAAACTCTCAGAGGTGGTTTTGCAGCTGTCAAATGTATGAGCTGCTGTAGCAAATGTGTTTGCTGTGTCTCAAACACAGCCTGATAGTAATGAAATTACACCACAGGCATGCGAGATTCCAGGAGTGCATTCTATGCACTAATTCCATGCAGTAATTAAGCCTGAGTATGGCTTTTGTCATGAAGACAGAAAGAAAAGCAGATTCGGCTCTGTGACAGCCTGAAAGCTGAGCAAACACCTTTGTGATGCTGGGAGAGGTGACTGCGTCCCGGGTAAGACACCACATCCTGGTTAGGATTGGCAGAAAAGAGACTTCAAATTAACCTTTCACAAGGGGTTTGCCAGTGGAACCGACTCATTGCTGGAAAAGGCTTACTGGGAGTGTATGGGATTGCAGGAAATACTTACAAATATAGGGCGGTTGGAATAGCCGGGCAGCCTCAGGACCCGTTTGAAAAGGACAAGGTGGAATGAGATTTTATATTTCATATTGTATAGAATATGGCTGAAAAAACTGTGAATCATGCTCCTGGAAGAACTCTCTTCATTCTATTCATTTTTGTTATTATTAGGAAGGCCTTCTCTGGCTGCCTCTGTAGCTTTGACAGATCAAACCCCAATTCTGTGTTTTCATAGTCAGATCACTTAAAGAGAACTTCTACCCAAATTCAATCTTCAGGGTTCAGCTCTATCTTTAAATACACATAGATCAAATTTTTGGAGTATATTGCAGTAACTTTAATGGTAGAATTTATCTCAAGTATCACACTCACTGCCCCTAAACTGCGATTAGGAACCAATCAATATTTGCATTTGCCTACTCCTGTTGTACGATGTATTGCAAAAAGTAACATTGGAATAATTATTTGCATTAACTAAGCACTGGGAAAAGCATCTGCAATTTCTGATTGTCTCTTTTCTCCATTGCCCAGTCTCATCAGAACCCAAAAATGTGACTTTCAGTCTTTTCTATATATCATTTGTCCAGCAAACAGTGAAGCTTCTGGTTCGAAGGCTTGTTGATAGCACAGCAGATAAAAAAACAGGAGTAYTGTGGTTTTCTTGTTTTGGAATATTATTTGAAAGGCTGAGTGTCAAAATGGATGGGAGTTATTCACACATCACAGTTCACTTCTCCAGTTTYCTTAGTTCAAGAATGGGAAAGAAACATGTGGGTGATGTTGTACACACCCCTCCCTCAAAGGCAAGGTTTTTTGCAGGTTTCCAAGTTCACTTGTATTTCTGTTCCAGGYATGCTTTGTTTCAAGCCATTCCCATTATCCTGCCTGTCTCTGGCCTCAAAAGACCTTGGGGAAGAGCACTTCTTTTGCTTTCTTGCTCTGGACTGTGGACATTGTCCCTGCAAACTCCTAGCGTTCCCTGTGATTTTGATTTTCCCTGCAGCTCTATGTTTGCTTCAGTGCTTAGCATACTGTTCTGAGCAGTGACAGAATTGGTCAGGAGCTAYCCAGCTTTCATAAAGAAAGGTATTAATTTTTCTGGTTTGTTTTTTTTTTTCTTTTTAGAAAAAAAGCATCAAGCATAAAATGTATTGTAAGACAATATGCAGTTTATACACCTCAAGCTTTATGGAGATGTTGGTGGGAATAAAGCACTTCAGCTCTTCCAGCCATGCCCTTTCTTCTTGCACACTATCTTTTATCAGTTATTGGGTGAAATATTAATGAATATTAAAGCAGGGCAGTAGGTTTTATTATTTGTTTGCTCTCCAGGCCTCTTTTATGAAGTCAGACATGTATTATACAATATCTAAAGAGACAGAAACTTTGAAAAGCTGGCTGCATGCCTTGTGTTTGCACTAAGAACCTGCATGAATGATTCCCCTATTGAATTTTCATTCCTGTAGAAAAAACCCTGCTTATCTGACCCGTTTGACCAGAAACACCATCCCTAGCAAACCCAGAGATGCACATAACTTGTATTACATYGATACAGCAATCTTTGAATGTTCCTCGTGTCCATTTGTCAGAGGAGACAGTTTAATGTGATAACTGGAACAATGAAGGTTAATGTCCAAACTTTTATACTTCACTTTTCAGAGGTGCAATTTGTACACGCATATTTCACCTGAGCTTTGGTAGCTGCAAATAGATAAATGGAGGTTAAAAAAAAAGGATATGATTAGCTACTGAATTTTTTGCAGCTAAATAGAGATAGGATTTAGCCTATGATTTGWGCCTTCATTCATTTGCTAAAATAAAAGGCTATTGGTATAATAATTAAATTCGTTATTTTGCCCATTGGAAGAATGAAAGACTTTAGCAAACGAAACCCTGAAAGTTTCATTCTCGCATGCTCTGTCCACAGTTCTTAGCAAGTTTCATAATGGCTTTTATCAGCATTAGTGCTACCTGTCATAACTACATAATTACAGCACCTAATTATATTATTACTTATTTACCCTAATTATGTAATTGGATGTAATTGGTGCAATTATGTAACTCCTCAGTCAGCTGAAAACTGCTCTAAAACTAGCCTATGCTCCTAAAGTAAAGGATATTGCCATGAATTAGACTGTCTCTCTAAAGCCAAGCAATCTTTGCTGAGAAATTAAAGGTTCTGTTC